GGATGTCATAGGGCTGCAGGCAGGAGGGGAAGGAAAGGTATTTTAGGCCAATAGTGTGGTACAGTATTTAAGAGCACAGCTTTTGGAGCTAGACCCACCTGGGTTCAGATCCTGCTCTGTTCTTTCCTCGTTATGTAACCCCAAGTAAGGGAGTGACTTAACCTCTCTGGACTTCAGTTTCCTTATCATTAAAGTGGGGCCAATAATAGTACCCGCTGCATGAGGAAGATTAAGTGACTTAATGCACGTGAAGCCAACAGCAAAGTGCCAGGTCCATAGTCCGTTGTCCCACAGAGTATTTCTACCCACCTCTGTTCTCCGCCTTTGCAACCAGGTGCTGCAGCGGCTGGAGCAGAGGCGACAGCAGGCTCCAGAGCGGGAGGCTCCAGGTATAGATCAGCGGCTGCAGGAAGTGAGGGAGAGCATCCGGCGGGCACAGGTGAGGCGTAGCCCTGTGCCTGGGACCCCTGAGATCCCAGCTCCTCATGCAACACCCTCCTCCTCTCTATCTGCCTGGTGGGGAGCAGGGAGGCAGGAGGTAGAAGGTAGACATGTTTGGGGTGGTTCCATTCACCGCCCAGAGGGAGGCCCGTCCATAGCCTTGATTGATCTCTCTTCCCCATGACAGGTGAGCCAGGTGAAGGGGGCTGCCCGGCTGGCCCTGCTACGAGGAGCTGGCCTCGATGTGCAGCGCTGGCTGAAGCCAGCCATGACCCAGGCCCAGGATGAGGTGGAGCAGGAGCGACGGCTCAGTGAGGCCCGGCTGTCCCAGAGGGACCTCTCTCCCACGGTGAGTGCCCTTTGCTCCCTACCCCTGTACACCCAGGACGGTAAAGGGTAGATCTCCCCAGAGTAGGGCAGACTCTATAAAATGGGGATCCTAACAGTACCGAAGTCGAAGAGGTTGTTGTGAGGCTGGAATGAAATATGTATAATTTTCTTGCATAGTTTGTAACACAGTGTTCTCAGTGAACTTTTATCATGAACATAGGATGACAATTACGAATTAAAGCTCAAAGTATGGATTCTACGTGGTTCAAGTGCCGGCCACTCCACTTACTACTAGCTGTGTGATCTTGCAAAGTGGCTTGACCTTTCTGAGCCTCGGTTTTCTCCTAAGTAAAATGAGGTGGGGGCGCCTGGGTGGCTCAGTCAGTCAGCATCTGACTCGTGGTTTTGACTCAGGTCATGATCTCAGGGTCGTGCGATCGAGCCCCATATCAGGCTCCATGCTCAGCACAGAGTCTGCTTGTTTCTCTCCTTCTCCAGTGTGTGCACACATGGATGTGCGTGCTCTTGCTCTCAATTAAATAAAATCTTTTTAAAACATAAAAAAAAAAATAGGTAAAACAGGTGATACACTTATGTAAAATATCACTGGGTTATTGTGAAGATTAAATGAGGTGCTATACATAAGATGTTTAGCGTCATACCTGGCACAGAGTAAGCACTCAGTATTGTAATTCTGCGATTGTTGTTGGTGTTACCCTGCTCTGTGGTGATTTTGTTTGTGATACATGGTGGACAGATGGGTGGTACCACCTTGGGGAGTGATCTATCGGTGTTCTTTAAGAGTAGAATAGAGGCGTGGGAGATAAAATGGGTACTTGAGAGTGGGCCCCCCCAATGGTGTCTGTTCTCTATCCCCTCCAGGCTGAGGATGCTGAGCTCTCTGACTTTGAGGAATGTGAGGAGACAGGGGAGCTCTTTGAGGAGCCTGCCCCGGCAGCCTTGACCACTAGGCCCCTCCCCTGCCCTGCACATGTGGTGTTCAGCTATCAGGTATCAGGTGGGCATGGGGGTGGGGATCTCCTAAGTGGGGATGGGCGACAGCCATGTCCTGAATCCTTCCTTGTGGGGCCCAGGCAGGGCATGAGGATGAGCTGACCATCACAGAGGGCGAGTGGCTGGAGGTCATAGAAGAGGGAGATGCTGATGAATGGGTCAAGGTGGGTATGGACCTTAGATTCTGACCTTGGTGGTGGGCAGGGGGCACGGCAATGGGAAGGACTTCTCTGTGGCTTGCAAGGACCCAGCCAGACAAAGCTAGAAGCCCGAGGAGGAGGGCTAGGGCCACGGGCTGCTGAGGCAAGTCTGCTATCTGTTCACGTTGCTGGGTGAACAGGCTCGAAACCAGCACGGCGAGGCAGGCTTTGTCCCTGAGCGGTATCTCAACTTCCCGGACCTCTCCTTCCCTGAGAGTGGCCACGAGAGCGACAATCCCTCAGGGGCAGAGCCCACAGGTGAGAATGGGAAATTCTGGGTCAGGGGACCTTGAGTAGTTGTGGCCCTGAGGTGTCGTGGCCCCGGGGCACTACTGCCCATCAACTCCCCTCACCACCTCTCCTGGGCTTCTGCAGCCTTCCTGGCCCGTGCCCTATACAGCTACACAGGACAGAGTGCAGAGGAGCTGAGCTTCCCCGAGGGGGCGCTTATCCGCCTGCTGCCCCGGGCCCAGGATGGAGTGGATGATGGCTTCTGGAGGGGAGAATTCGGGGGCCATGTGGGGGTTTTCCCCTCCCTGCTAGTGGAGGAGCTGCTTGGCCCCCCAGCACCGCCTGAACTCTCAGACCCGGAACAGGTGAGGCTTCCTTCTCCCTGGGTCCCCAGGCACCTCTAGGTTGAGCCTTCCACTCCAGTGAGGCCCCATATTCATCTTAATGCCCCTTTCCTTCTCCCGATTTACTTCCTATATTGGCTTGGACCTCCCAATCTCCTTTGGCTGGGCAGAGAAGAGGGAAACTCAGGCAGTCTTCATAAGAGTGTGGTGGTCCTATTTTAGTGCTAGATAGATCTGAGTTCAGATCATATTGCATTGCCTCAGGCAGTGATATAACCTTGCACAAATTTATTTCTTTACATGTAGAACAGGGGTCATAATACCAACTTCAGCAGCCCAACTGTCGTGACTAGAGATATGGAGGTAAAGCCCTTAGCCCAGTGACCCACAGGAGGTCCTTTAATATGTGGTACCTACCGTTACAGCAGGAAGAGCCTAGGAGAGGGAGTCAGGAGAGCTGGGTTCTAGTCGGGGCTCTACCACTAAAAGGCTCCATGCTTTTCGATAGATGGCTTAACCTGAGCCTCACCTCTATGAGAAATCATAAAAATCCCTACCTCATGGGATGCTGGTGAGGAATGAGTTAATGAGTGTATGTGAAGTGCTAACAGAATGTCTGGGACACAGTGTCAGTACATATTAGCTAACGAAGTGTGTATCAGCTAAAGCCCCCACCTGGATAGAAGCATCTGGCCGCTCTCCAAATCAAGGAGTGATGGGACAGGAATTGAAGGCGAGATGAGAGGAAAAGGTGGTGAAACCTTCCCACGTGCCAGGAATAACTCCGTGTGCCCCTCATTCCCAGATGCTGCCATCCCCTTCTCCTCCTAGCTTCTCACCTCCTGTGCCCACCTCTGCCTTGGATGGAGCCCCTGCACCTGTGCTGCCTGTGGGTGAGTAGAGGGCCCTGGGGGCCCTGGGAGGGGAAGAGATGGGAAGGAGGAGAAAGGTTGCCCTTGGCTCCTCTGCCTGCCCTCAGGAACCTCCTCCATCAGGCTCACAGAAGCATGATGGTGAGAAGAGCTTGGGCTTTGGAGGGGAGGCAAGTGTGTTGTTGAGACTTTGCCTGTGACTTCCCAGTGTGTGGTTTGGGGCGGATGTTTAACCTGCCTGGGCCTTAACAGAGTGAGGAGAAAGGTCCCTACCTCACTGAGTTGTTGTGAGAGTTAGAAAGATGGGCCTAGCTTTGTGCCTGGCCCATAGTACGCATGCCCACAGCAGCTGTTTTTTCCTGAAGATTATTTTACAAATTAGCCAGCTTTTCCCACTACCCATCCTCTGCCTTTCATGTTCTTGAATCCTGCCCACGCCTTGGTTTGTGTCATCATTTTCCTTCTTGGAATGCCCACCTTTTCTAAAACCTTCTGGTACTTCCACTTTCTTCACGAAGTCTCCCTCCCTGATTCCAGAGGTCCCTGTGAGCATTTTCTGCACCCCCTGCTCCAGCATCTATAGTTCACTTGGAATGATTTAGCATTCAGTCATTCATTGTGTTTGTTGGTTTTTCACTCTCGGGTTGCTGACAGCCATTGGGAGTGGGGGTGCTGTGAGTCCATCTCCCCCTCTCAGCAAGGTGCCAAGTAAGAGTGGAGGATGGATGGATTGATGGATTTTATGGCTCTAAGATTAGGGACTCTTCATTAATTCATCAAATATTTACAGAGTTCCACTGTCCTAAGTGTAGGAGATGCAGCAATGAACGAAACAAAGCCTGAAGACTGACTTGTGGTTCTTGTTTGCAGACCAAGACCTGGACTGCCCTGGACCCCTGGACATGATGGTACCTCGACTCAGGCCAGTAAGGTTCCCTCCCTTGGAGGAGATTGTGTCATTCCAACTTGTCCTGTTTTGTCTGCGAGGCTGAGGGAATGGATAGGGATATCCCCAAGGGAGGGTTCTGGAGTACTGACTCTGTGTTCTCTACAGATGCGTCCACCGCCTCCCCCACCAGCTAAAGCCCCGGATCCTGGCCACCCAGATTCTCTCACCTGAAGCCAGGGGGATTGCTGTCCCCCCAGTGATGCTGCTGTCCCTATTCCTACGATGTCAGAGACCAACCCCTCAATGATCTGGAGTGACACAGCCAAAAGCTGCAGTCTCCCCCATTTCCACTCTCACCTCCGGGGGTAGAAACTTTCCGTCTCCCCATTTCTGGGGCTGGAACTCACTCCTTTTCCCCCATCATACTTCTGCTATCTCTAGGGCTGGAACTACCCCTCTTTCTTCTGCCACCACCCCATCTGTAGGGTGGTGAAATATTCTGAAATCTCTGGGGCTGGAACCCATCTTCCAAAGTCTTGAGTGGCTCCAGCCCATCTGTGTCTCCACCCTGGCTCTGTGACCCACCCCACCGGGTCTGTGACCCATGGTCACTGGGGTTGGGGGCTGGGACAGGAGCAGGCCTGTCAAAAGGAGCTGGAGCCAGTATGCAAAACAGCTGTAATGGTCTGAGCGGATTTATTGACAGTGAATAAAGGGCACTAAGCCCAAGCCAGGGCCTGGGCCTCTTGTGCCAAGAGGGCAGGGGGCCTAAGGTGCTATTGCTTTAAGGGCCCACCGAGGGCAGGGGCCTGCTCCCAGCTGCCACGCTCTAGCAAATGGAGCGAGGTGATGGGGAAGGGGTCAGGCGGCCTGTTGGCAGGCAGGGGAAGTGAAAGAGACTGAGGGATGGGGGTGGGGAGACTTCTCCTGAGGTCCCCCAGCCTGAAACCATGCAACTCCAGATGGACGTAGAGCTGGTTCCTCAGCTGGGGAGCAGTGCTGTCCAGTGGAAAGGAGCTCCTTTATGCCCACCCACCCCCTGGCCCTGCCAGCTCGTAGTCCCATCAGCACAATGAAGAAGGAGCCTTGGAGGAGAGGAAGGGTAACAGTGTTGCTTCCTATTCAGGATGTGTCTCAGCTTTTCCCCTGGGGCTGCAGGACCTTCCCTGTCTCCTGGAGCACATGCCCACTCCCCACCACTAAACCAAAGACTTTGTAGCAAAGGCCATCCCTGGGAGTACAGTGAGCTAATGGGCTTAGGTGGTGTACGTAGGGGGTGGGAGTGTAGGGCGTGGGAGAATGAGATTATCTGATTTGGGGCCCAAGCAGACTCACCTCACACACCCCCTGCTCCCCGTGGTGGGGACACCTGTGAGAGAGAAGTGGTCAACAATGGGAGAACAGGATGTGGGTCATAAAAGTGCCATCTCCCCCGCGCCCAGGGTAGGAGGCAATAAGAGCTGAGCCCACCGTAGCCCTGCCCATGCCTTCATACCTGGTGATCTGAGGTGTCCAGTTTGCTTGGCTGTCCAACTGCCTCTCGACTGGCCAGTCCTGGGCTTGGGCCCTTCCTTCCAGCCCCTAGCATGGGCTCTGCAGAGGCTCTAGGGTTCCCCTCAAGTGCACAAGGGACTAGGTTGCCATCCCTGAGTCCTCCGTTCTGTATTGGGGGACTGGCGAGGCCCAGGGGCTGTGGCCTCTCAGGGGGCACACTCTCAGTGGCAGGTATCCCTGCCCTGGGCTGCCCTCCCCCAGACCCCTGACTACCCCCTGTGTCCTGCCCTCCACCAGACCCCCAGCTCCTGTCCGTGGGAGAGCCATCACGATGCTCATGTAGTCCATAGCGTTTCTCAATGTGTGTCACCCGGAACCTGGGAAGGGAGGGAACACTGGGGCTTACGACCACAACTCAGAGACTGCTCGGCTTCCCCTCAACCAGGGACATCCTGGGTTTCATGGCCACTTCCCTCTGGCTTAGGGGGAGGGGGAAGACCTCCCCAGATTATGGGGCACATTGTACAGCCTGACTTCTGCTGTAGCTCACAGTCTAGGAGAACAGAGCTGGGGCCCACCTTTGGAGTCAGGCGCCTGATCACGGGGCTCCCACCTCAAACTCCCTCTTTCTGGGGCTTTCTATCCCCACCTGCCCACAGAGAACACGGTGGTCTCTCCAGGCCGGGGGCGGCTCTTTCCTTCCTTGGAGCGTCCCTGGCGGACAAGTGGGGGCCTCTTGTTGCGGCTGCAGTGGATGCAAGGGGCTGCAGAGCCCAGATGCACTGTGTGATGATGGGAAGGGGCTCCATCTTGCAGGCTGGAGGTAACATCCACGCTGGACAATAGGGAAGAAGGGAGCAGGAGTGACGTTACCATTTCCTTTCCTTTTCCATTTGCTCCTGTTCTTTCAGCTTCTTAAACCCCCAGATGCCCCACTTTCCTCAGGCCCCAGCATTCTTGTATTTATCTAATAAACACAATATTAAGATTTTAGTTGTCATGTGTTCTTTTTCCCAGGGTTGTTTGCTAAAAAGAGGGCAATGTTTAACTCAAAGGAATGGCACAGGGATAAATGTCAGGCTTGATGATACCCAGATGGGAAGTATGGTTTGAAGAACTCAGATTTCTATAAAACTTCTTTCTTCATATAGGATAGGCAGCTTTGCCTCCCCCCTCCCCCCAGACATGCGAGAACATTGGGAAAGGATTATGCTGGAGGAGAGGGTACTCTCCAAGGCAAGCTAAGTCATGCTGGCCCTTGTTTCCAGCTCACCTGGACAGCTGCACTGTCCCTTCTCCTTCACTGTCCCCCAGCATCTCCTTCAAGGCCTCAGCATTGGCTGAGGGGAGAAGGAAAAGAGGGAGTCAGTGGAGGTGGAGGTCAGGGCAAGAGAAAGTTGAGCGGGGCTGGGGAGAGCAAAGGGCCAGTCTACACCCACCTTCATTTTGGATGATGCAGCGAACAATCCTCTCTACGGTGTCCTCATTCATGTCATCGTCCTCAGCTGAAGGATGAGAGGTTGGCAAGGAAGCAGGAAATGAGTCAGCTTTGGGTGGACATTACCTGGTGGCTTCTGTGGCTTACTGCTCAAGACCTATCCCTTTGTCTATGTGCCATCATGCTGGATGTTAACATTTAGGGGTCAGGGCAGAAAAAATGGGAAAGTTAGTGGGAGCCCAAGACTACCAACAGTGGGCCCTTCCCATCCATGCTGCCTTTCCTAGGCTTGCTTTCAGGGTGGGGTCATCCCACTTGCTGACTCAAGAAAGCGTCATTAAGCCTCCTAAAGGCTTGGTCAGGATTTGGCCTCTTGGCCAGGAAGGCAGAAATAGGTGTAGGGTGAAGGGTATGGGAGAAAGGTGACTGAGCCAGGTTCTAGGCTCCTCACTCACGGGGCTGGAGCTGGGCATCGTCAGGCTCCGAGCCCCTCGACGTGCGGCAGCGGTAGCCCTTCTTCTTGAGCACGTGGCAGATCATGAAGCCTACGAGGCCCATGAGGAAGAAGACCAGCACAAGCAGGAAGAGCATGTATAGCCCATGTTGGGGCGGCTCCAGGTCTGGCTGTGGTTCCGACATGAGGCCCTGGGGGGCGAGCGCGGGCCAGGGAGCCTCCTGGGGTTAGGGGGCTGCAGCTAGGGACTGGGGGAGGGATAGGAATTCGGTCCTCAGGACCCGAAACCGACGAGCCTCTGAGGTCCCGCCCCACCCCCCTACCCAACCAAGGAGCTGTCCGTGCCAGGGGTGCTGGTCCGGGGCAGGGGTGCCAGACGGCGGCTGCGCAAGCCCTCTTCCACGACCCTGATCCTGCTTCCCCGACGCCCAGAGCGTTCCCCTTTCCAGCTTGTCCTGCGCTTCCGTCCCTCCCAAGGACACTGCAGAGCGAGATGGGACGGAATTCTCAGGCGGCCGGCGCAAGAATCGCGCCTGAGTCAGCGTCCGCACCTCCTCCGCGCCGGCCTGAGCCAGGCCTCTGCAACCCCCTCCCCTGCCTGTATGCCCGCACAACGCCACCCCTTTCGGTTCCTCCCATCCTCACCACCTGGCCCACTCGGTACCGGTGGTTTGGTTCTGGCTCCGGCTCCGGCTCCGGTTCCGGCTCCAGGGACGTCCTAGTCCGGCTCAGGGCCCCCGACGCCCTCCCGGCGCTCATCCCTTGCTTCCTCCCCCTCCCCCCTTCGCCGCCTCACCGGCTCCGGGCTCCGGCTGCAGATACCGGTGCCGCGGCAGGCAGGGGGAGGGAAGGATGAAGAGGGATGCGGGCTAGTTGGGAGCGGCGGCTGGCTCCGGACTACTCTGGCTGTGGAAAGGGGAAGGAGATGGGGGTGGGGGGCGCCGCCGCAGCCGCTCTAGGTTCCCAAATGCCTTCGCCGGTCGCCAGCCCGGGACCAGGGGGCGGAGCGCAGGTGTGCGGGGCGGAGAGCGAGAGCCTTGCGCGCTTGTGAGCGCAAGTGTGGGGCGCACGTGACTGCACCGCCCCCCCCGGCCCCCCCGGGGGGAGTGTGCGGCGCCGAGTCTCGGTCTGGGTGGGGAGGACAGGCAGTCAGAACAAAGTGCTCTCCACTGGTCTATCCCGCATGCTTGGCGCGGCTCCTGCCCTCAAATGCTTCGGTCCGGTGGATAGCCAGGAACCTTCTCAACGGGCCAGGGGAAGCTGGCTTTCCGCACCCGAGAGGGACGGTGTGGCGGTTCTCTGGAGTCTCCTAGACTGGTGACAACGGCCTGCGCCCCGTTTGGGGCAGCTGGCTGGACGAGATGTCTCGGATTCCCGAGGATTTGACCCCCGCCCGGAAGGAAATGACCCTCGCATCCTAGGACCATACTACCCGTCCTCCGCAGAGCCCAGAAGCTTAAGCTCGGGAACCTAGAAGGGCAAAGCCAAGCGAGGGGCGGAACTCCGCAGGGGGCGTGGTCAGGGAGGCGGGGCCTGGACTTCCCGGTTCCGCAGAGGCAGTCTGCGTGCTTACGCAGCACGTAGGAGCGGGGGTGGGGCAGGCGGCCGGGCGGGCGGCGGAGGCGCGGGGCCTGCTCCCGCCGGCACCATGGCCAAGACCGTGGCCTATTTCTACGACCCCGACGTGGGCAACTTCCACTACGGTGAGGGAGCAAGGTTGTACGCGAGGAGCTTCGGGACGCGGAGGTTTCGAGGCGGGGGCTATAACTCCGGCGTCGGGAACTGACGAACTCTCTTCTCCCACCCCCAGGGGCAGGGCACCCTATGAAGCCCCATCGCTTGGCATTGACCCATAGTTTGGTCCTTCACTACGGTCTCTATAAGAAGATGATCGTGAGTCTCGCCATCGCTGCTGGGTATTGAGGGTGCGGCGAGCTGTGTGGCCCTAGGATAGGTGGGCTGCCCTGAATGCACCAAGTGCAACCCACCCTTGGGGTGGGGGGCAGGGTGGATGGAAGGAGCCAGGAACACCCGCCATATGCAGAGTGTAGGTGGATGGATCCACTGACCTAATGGGAGTTACTTTTCCACCTTAGGTCGGCCACCCTTTGACCTCAGGTAGACCAACCTCTGGCCTGTGGTTAGGGTGGAGTGGGGCTGGTTTGACGATAGAAGGTGTTTTCCTCCCCAGCATCTTAGGATGTGGGCAGTGCTGTGGCTTCAGGAGAGAGGGGCTGGATCACTTTATCTGGATGTAGGTGTTCCCACCGCAGTTCTCACCCTTTCTTTGCCACCTCTCTCCACCTCCAAGGAGCTAGAGCTCCAGGGAGGACTCTGTAGCCCTGTGTGCAAATGTGTATGTGTGTGTGGAAGAGAGCAGGAGATGTCCTGGGTATTTCCTTATCAACTTAGAATACTCCCCACATGGTTCTACTTAATTGCTACTCAATCCTCCATCTCCCAGATATGCACATGGAGATAGACAACCCCCAACTTGGAATTTATAGTTATGATAGGCCATTATAACAGTTAAGCTCAGCCCTCATGCGTCACGAGGGGAATTAGTCAACAGTATGAATGAATGTTGTCCACTGTTTGTGCTGAGGCACAGACAAGTGAATTAGCTTTAGAAAAGACTGAGGTGAGGTTAGTGCATGAATCTATGAAGCCCTTGAAATTGTTTGCTGGTACATACCTGTGTGCATTTTCTGGGGAGAGAAGCTTTTTGTTCTTGCCCAATTTCTAAAGAAGTGTGTGAACCCTCCAAAAGATGATAAATCTCTCACTTAGCACCTTGGCACCCCAGGGTTTTAATTAGAAGGTTGTCACATATCCCATATTATTTAACTCTAAAATTAAGGATTCAGAGGAGAGGACGGAATCAGAGCCAGGGGGAGGAGATGAGTATGGAAAGAATAAAAAATAGGAGATCCAAGGAACAGGGTAGGTGGATAAGGGCTCAAGGTTGAGAAGGTGGGGAAAGGTTGGGCTGGAAGTGGGAAGGAGAAGGCAAGTGCACTGTTCTTTGGGAGACTTGATCATAGTACCCCACCTGGCTAATCAGAGCCTCTCTTCTTCACTGACCTTTGCTTAATAGAATAACAAGGATCGGAGGGGTGAGGAGACTGCTGATGTGTGTGAATTTGGACTGTCCACAGGGCTGGGTTCAGTGTGGGCAGTCTCAGCCCGATGAATGGGACTGATCTCCCCTGGGTTCTCCTTATGTTTCCATCCCGAGGTCTTCAAGCCGTACCAGGCCTCCCAGCATGACATGTGTCGCTTTCACTCTGAGGACTACATCGACTTCTTGCAGAGAGTCAGCCCCACCAATATGCAAGGCTTCACCAAGAGCCTTAATGCCTTCAACGTGGGCGATGACTGGTGAGGGGAGAACTGGGATTTTTAATGCCAGCCATATAGAACACTTGAGTGAGGTCTTGTGGCAGCAGTGGGAACACGTGAAGGGGGTCCTATTTGTCAGTGAATCATCATTTACTGATTTGTTTATTCAACAGATATTGGTCATTTGCTCTAGGCCAGGCCCTGTGCTAAGTGCTGGCAACGCAATGATACATAACAACAAAATTTTAATATTACAGTTGTGCTAAGTCCTGTGAAGGAGAGGTAGGTGGCTGACTGTGAGAGTGTATATGCAGGAGAATTACCTGTCTTGGGAGTGGGCTGGTCAGTAGAGGCTAGAGGATGTAATGGAGATTGAGGTGAGATCTGAAGAAAGAGTAGGAGATAATTAGATGGAAGGTGGTTGGGAGGATAGGGGGTGAGGGCAGGAATGTTGTGGAAATTAGGGACAACGTATGCTGAGGGTTTAGGAGAGGTTGGTGTGTCACTCATTTGAGGAACAGAAAAAAGGTCATTCACTGAATATGAATAGAAAAGTGATCTGAATCAAGGCTAAAGAGATGGGCAGGGCCTTTAAAAAATAAATAGCCCTGTTATGATTTGGGGTTCTTATCCCTAGAGTAGAGGGAAATTATCAAAGTGTTCTAAAAGCAAGAGAGTGATTTACATTGAGAGAGGTTTACATTGAGCTTTATCATATGAAGAAGACTCAGAGGCCCTGTGGGGAAGGGAAGATAACAAAGATAAACCAATATCCTTGCTTACATTCTCATATATATTCATGAAAATGTAGCGATCATAACAGCTACCATTTACTCAACTTATTTTTAGACTTTTTTTAGGAAAATTTCAAATGTTTCTGAAAGAATAGTACAGTGAATTCCCATATATCTGTCACCACCTGTAACACTTAGAGCAAATGGCCATTCTTACTTCATCTGCATCCCAGATTAGTGTTTTGTTTTTTTTTTAGGAGAGAGGTGGGGAGCAAGTGAGCAGGGGCGGAGTTGGGGGTAGGCAGAGGAAGAGAGAGAATCTTAAGCAGGCTACATGCCCAGCTCAGAGCCCAATAGGGACGTGGGCGACACAGGACTTGATGCCAGCTGGATCTCACGACCCTGAGATCATGACCTGAGCCGAAATCAGGAGTCCAACTCTGAGCCACCCAAGCGCCCCTGCATCCCAGGTTATTTTAAAGCAAATCTCAGATGTCACTTTTTTTTAACTGTAAATATTTTATTGTGTGTCTCTAAATGATACTCTTAAAAACATACATGCACACACTCAACACTGTCATTATCACACCTAAAAAATTGACAGTAATTCCTTAATATCATCATATTTGCAATCAGTATTCAAATTTCTCCAACTGCATCCTAATTTTTTCTTTTTTGCAGTTGATGTATTTAGGATATAAACAAGGTCCGTACATTGTATTTGGTTGATACATCTCTTGAGGTTTTTAATCTGTAGTGTTTCCTTCTCTACCTTGAATTTCTTCCTTTTTTTTTTTTTTTAAGATTTTATTTATTTATTTGAGAGACAGTGAGCGGGTGAGAGAGAGAGGACAAGTGGAGGGAGGGGCGGAGGGGGAGGGAGAAGCAGACTCCCCGCTGAGCAGGTTGCCCAGTGTGGGGCTCGATCCCCGAACCCTGGAATCATGACCTGAGCTGAAGGCAGACATTTAACTGAGCCACCCACGCGCCCTTCTACCTTGAATTTATTTCTTGAAGAAACCAGGCTATTGGTCCTATAGAGTTTCCTACAACAGCTACTATTTATTGCGTGCTTACTCTGTTGTGCTGAGGTTTGCTGGTACATTCACTTCATTCTCACACCAACAGTGAGATGTAATAGTCTTGTGCCTTAATTTAGGCATAAGGAAACCAAAGTTTGAGGAGATTTAGGTAACTAACCTGAGTTGCAAAACTGATCAGTGGAAGTGGCAGGTTTCAGATCCAGAGCCCTGGTTTTTAAAGATTTACAAAAAAAATTTTTTTTTATTTGACAGAGAGAGACACAGCGAGAGAGGGAACAGAAGCAGGGGGAGTGGGAGAGGGAGAATCAGGCTTCCTGCAGAGCAGGGAGCCCGATGCAGGGCTCCATCCCAGGACCCTGGGACCATGACCTGAGCCGAAGGCAGATGCTTAACGACTGAGCCACCCAGGCGCCCCTGGAGCCCTGGTTTTTAAACACAACACCGTTTCCCTGAAGATCCTACCAATAGAAGCACTCTGAGCTGGAAGATAGAAGGCTGGCATTGAGCACCTTTCCAGGCTTATCCCTAAACCCCTGCTTGCACAGGATGCCTTCCTGGAATGCCCTTTGTTCCTCATTCAACCTCTCCAAGGCCTTCCTAACGTTCCCACCACCTTCAAGCTTCACACCACTAAACCTTTCTTGACCACACCAGGTGCAGAGGTCTATCCTGTACACGCTGCCCTAGTCATTTGGTGTTTAGTGGCATGCTATCTTGGGAGATTTCTTGTTTTTTTGTTATTGCTGCTACTGTTATTTCTGAGCTCACTTTATAGGTGTGGGAATGCAGAGTCAGCCCTCAGGCCCCAACTGGGGCTCTGTAACTGCTCTGTGCAGTTAGGGAATACTACCACTCGGCCCTTGGCACTGCATCAGTTGTGCTGTTAGACGTAAGCTACAATCATGCTTATCTGTGTATTGCAGCTGAGAATCAGGGATTTTCCCTTTTAATTAATTTCTGATTGTTTTCAAATTAATCTAATATAAAAAGCCCAATTATACTGCAAGGCTTTTGATGGAAAAAAAAAAAAACAGTCCCATATCCATGCCTCCCACTCATAAATCCCTCTCCCCAGGGGCAGCAACTTTCAGCTCCTTTAGCTATTTTTTCTGGTATTTATCTTTGGGTTTCAAAGCAATGATACTAATCTACTACTGTTACTAATAATCTGTAATACTTAATGCCTACTCTGTGTCAGGTACTATTTTAAATGCTTCACAGGCATTAGGTCATTTAATCTCATCAATCTCTGAATCAGGGTCTCTTACTGCCTCCTTTTCACAGATGAGGACACTTAGGCACAGAAACTATAAACAGCTTACCCAATCTCATGATCATTGGTAGGTGTTAAAGAGTCAA